GTGTGGGGGGCTTCTGGAAGAACAATTTTCCACTGATTGCAAGACAGGTCCCCTGAATGAGCTACTAGAATATCTATTTCGTTCGCCACTCCAGGTTCTCGCGGTTTATGATACCAGTTTCCATGAGTGAACAATAGAACTTTGTCATTTTGAGTTTACCTCGTCTACTATTCATTCATTCAGTATATGATAAATGACCCTGTCCAAATTTATACCACCTTTATTCTTTTCAACCTCTCTGTGACTCCACTGTCATTTCCGTGGCTTGGATAATCGGTTGTCATAGATTTTATTCCTTTTTTCATTCATCGCACTGTCGTAAAAAATTACTGTATGCATGAGTCCACAGCTTGTTGCTTCTTCCAACTGTTCGACAACCAGGTTGATCCATTTTCTCAATCTTCTCAATCTATTTAATTTTTTCTTCCTTTTCAGTTCATGACTGTGTTGGATGCTCCAACTCCCCATTTTACCACTCCCAAGCCTTGGAAAGTAAGTCTTTTGCCGATTGTGTTCAGTATTTTGTAGTGGTTCCTTTTCTCTCATTTATGCTAATTTGTCTGTTTTCTTTTATCGAGGCACTTAACACATACTGCCAGAGAAGCAAAACATAGTTCAAGATCTACACTCATGTTTGTGTCAAACGTGGACAGTTGTTTGAATTTAGTTCACCTGGTACATTTATCAATTCTGCCATGCTTCGGTTTGTTGTCGTCTGTTGATCGATTAATAAGTTACTTACAGGATAGTCAAATTGGAAGTTTTACCAACTGATCAGACTCGTCTCATTGGTTGCAAAAACCACTCAGTCGATTTGGTACCAACTGTTAATATCACCTTAGCTATTCCGTAGAGTTTTTGAGTAACCGTGGTCTCCCACTGGAACAAGTGGTCAACCTCCATAGATTACGTTGGTTGGGGCATTTATTGTGCATGCCACCAAATAGGTTGCCTCGGTCAACGATGTTCGCCGAGGCAGGTAGTGGTTGCAATAAAGTCAAGGGCGGTCAAGCTAAGACCTAGCACCAGAGTATAAAAACCCTAACCAGGAGACTGGGCCACATATGTCCCATTAGGCTCCCTGAATGGGTACCTCCGGATGATCGAACCCGATGGTTGTAGACACTGAGTGATATGACCGAATGTCGTAAACAATGGCGTTCATGTATCTTCTCAATTTCTTTGCAACATTAGTCCACTGAAGTTCTCCATTTTCTGTTCGACTTTCTTGCCTTTCTCCCAATGTTCATCCAAATGGGCAGTCAATACACAGTACGAAATTGCTTGGTTAATGGTTGTTCAAACCGAAACTGAGAGTGTTGTCCAGTTTTGATCTTCGATACGACCCACCTTCTTTCTGCTGGTTAGTCCTTTCTTAGCGTGGGGGCGTAGACTTGATCGATGTCAGTGTGTCGGTTGAACGAGTTTTCCGATGAATATCAAGCTTCCAAAATTTTTCTTGCGTGCTTCGTACGGGCATGGTCGACGACTGTGATATCCTCAAAATCAAAATGGTCTTTCTTGGTCCTCATGAATTATGATGACCAAGAGCTCATTGTTTCTCTTGATGGCCAGTCTGTGTTTGCGTACGCGTAGTGTTTGTTGCAGTCCTTGAAGTTAATGCGGTAGATCACATTTGTTCGATTTTTGTTACCTTTTGGTTTTTGTCAAGATTCTCCGTAGGGTCGTCTTTGGTTTGTGGGCCACTTGAAGATTGTGTGGCTTCAGTATTCTCGTGGTCATTTCAGAAGTGTTTTTCACATACGGTAGCGTTATTCGCCTATTCGGTTACCCTATTTTGTCCTTACGTGCTTTTGTGTTCGAGTCATTTTCCGTTTAACGAAGTCATAGCTGTAGCCGTTGTGAAGGAATACTTGATAGAGGTATTTTTACTCTTCTTACCTCAACTTTTCAGTGTTGCATTGTGTTGCGACCCTTTCGAAAGTGGCCGAATGCAACTCTTCTTGTGACAGGTTGTTGTTGTTGAATCCCAATATTTTATCTATGTAGGTCTTCACTGTGTATACTGATGGTTCAGACGATGATATTTTTAGTAATACATAGAGGAAGGCTAATTTGTCATCTTGTTCTTTTCGATAATGAACTTCATATCCGGGAAGATACTGCTGATGCTGTTGAAGGTTCTGTCCTTTAGGGTCAAAAATATGTCATCTATATATCTAAGCCAAAGTTTTGGTTGGAGTTATGGCAGAATCGTGGTTTCCAGTTTTTACATTATGGCTTCAGCAGTGAATCTGAAAATTGGTAAACCTGTTTGTAGATTTCACTTTCGAACTCGAAGTAAGCACAAATCCATCAGCTCGCACGTGTGTTTGACCCATTGTTTGGTGTATCTGTCGTTCTTCTAGAAGCTCCTTTAGTATTTCCCTGGCCAACCGAGGTTGGTGGAGGTGAGTAGAGCGGTGACGTCGAAGGATATCATTGTTTCACCTGCTTCAATGTGCATATCATTAAACTACCTAGGAACTGTTTGGCGTTATTGGTGAAATGTTCCCAGCGGTCGATGAGCCAAGTTGTAGGTCAGTGTACCGGTAATCCATACTTTTGTTTGTAGCGGCACATCATCCTAGGGTATTTTTGTTAGTCTAGAGAATTCAGCTGGGATAGCGAGTAAGGTGGAGTTTAGACTGGTTTGCTTGGATAAATTAATCCTCCATTTTTACTGACGGGTGCCAACTCTAGTGGGACTCTTAAACTGGAGAACCAAGGGACTTGACTTTGTCTGATCTTCCATTCTCAATTAGATCCTTGAATCACAGAGTTGCACAAGCTGTCGCACCACTCACGGTTCTCACTGCGTGCAGTTGTCTCGACTGGGACCCAGTCTAGCATTATAGCTTTGGATCTCTCACTTGGAGCTATACCAACGTCAGATCGTTTGGAGGCCACTGCTTCCTGATCGGTAGGGAGCCGCAAGTGAAACTTAGCGCATTGGTTTGCTGGGAACGTCATTTGGATAATGGGGCTGGAATCTTGAATTCTAGCCTCTTGGACACAACACACATCGTTCGTTAGTGTATCGAGCAGACGAGCTGAACACGGCTGTTGTTCTATAGGCATCAGTGTACACATGGTAAAAGTGGCTAGTTTGAAGGGGCACTGAGGACAAGGAAGGTTTCAGCTGGTTGATTTCCCGACCCGTATCCGCCACCGTGCCGGCGACCAAGCTCATACTCTCAATCTTGTCCTCACATCAAACTCACAATTATTTTGAAGTGCTGCAGCAGTTCCTCCCCTTGGCTCATCAGGCCATTGTCTTATTTCACTCTCTACCCAAATTATCTGTTCCAATGTTCTTCCCAATTCTAGGCGCACATTCTGGTCATATGGTTTCGCTGATTGGTGCAGCTTTCGTAACTTTCTGGCTTCCTACCCCTCGAACGAATGTTATTTTTCCGCCAATGTATCCATCTTGGTTTCACATTTTCCCAAAGTTCTTTCGCAAGGCATGCACCCATTTATTCCTCATTTCACTAAACCCGGCAAGCCTCTTTCTTTAGAATGGTTTAACCACGCCTGTTGTCGCGCTGTTCGTAAAAGGAAATCAGCGTTCTGCCGCTGGCGTCGGCCACCCTCCCCCAGTTCCCGTCGATGGTTCTTGTTAGCACGAAACAACCGTACAACCATTATAAAGAGAGCTAAGGAACACTTTGTTGGCCGCAAAGCGGCACAATTGGCGACCGTTCTTTCTGGTAGCCGGATGTTCTGGTCAATCGCTAAGGCGGTCTCCCGTGACTTCTGTTCTACTTACTTCCCACCCATTGTTAAACCATCTGGTGACCTAGTATCTGACTCGTTGGAAAAAGCAGAATTCCCTGGTCCACCCCCCCCCATACAAACCGCATCGTGAGTAATCTCAATGATCGGATGAGTGGACAAACAAACATGTGATCGTGGTGAACCCGATTTCCGGTCTCACGATGAAATCGGTTTTAGTAATCTGTTTTCATTTTATTTTCCCATGACAATTTTATTCCCAAGTGGTGATATATATTGAGATGTATTGGCATGAATGCGAATCTCTGAAAACGAGCTTGTTCGCCACTCTGTTGTTTTGTTTGAAATGTGCTCTGTCTGTGGGATTATTTCAACAATAAAAGCAGAATTGTTGGCTTCCAATTCTACCCTACTGGAATCACCCATCCAACCCTCCACGCACCCTACGGCAAACCATCATTTCACATCACTCATTTCCACCAGAAAGATACATTAAATCCTCTTATAGCTGGACCCAAACAAGCCACCTGGACCCGACGGGATTCCTCCCATTGTCTTCAAAATGTGCACCTCAGAACTGGCTCCCTTCCTAGGCCGCCTATTCTGTCTATCTCTCACTTCCGAGATATTCCCAACCCCATGGAAAATATTAGAAATGTTTCCCATCCCCAAACTCGGCGACCATTCTGACCCAAACAACTACCGCTCCATCTCTCTCACACCAGTCATTTCGAAGGTTATGGAATCAGTTGTTACTGATCAACTCCGCCACCACCTAGAGCAGAACAAGATGCCTAGGGACAATCAGTACGGTTTCCGATCCCATTGATCTACCTGTGATCTTCTGGCCCTCATTTCGCATACATGGTCATCGGCACTCGACAACCACGGGGAAACCCATGCGGTATCATTGGATATTTTGAAAGCTTTCGATCGTGTCTGGCTCGCCGGTTTGCTGGCTAAACTACCTAAGTTTGGCTTTCCTTCAGAACTGGACAGCAAGCTACCTCAAGGACCGCAGCATCTCCGTCAGAGTAGATGGGACCATGTCTCGTTCCGTGCCTGTAAATGCTGGTGTTCCCCGAGGTTCTGTACTTTCCCCTTCCCTTTTTTGATGTTTATCGATGACCTTTCTTCAATTTCAANCGCCTTTTCCGATGACGCTACCCTACACTCTTCTCTATCCTATTCCTCTTCGCGCATCGCTAACTACAGCATTAATGACGACGGCATTCACAAGGAAGGGTTGAGGTAGATCCCCATCAACTCGGACGGAGATTGCTCGCTTCCTGAGGACACTTGATATCCACACTACGGAACCCAAGCATGGACAGTTTCGCCAGTAGACCGTGCCAAACTCGAATGAAGGCCTTTAAGATTTCAAGCGAGACCAAGTCTTTTTCTCCGTGATTATCAAGTGCATCCAACCAGGTTTGTGAGAGAATAGCCAGCAAGTCACCGGTGAAATGACTCTGTTGGAAGCCAAAGTGACTGTTGCTCAGTAATTCTTCGTTTTCGCGGAGCGTGTTTAGTTGCTCGGAGATGATAGTTTCAAATACTTTCGGAAGAACCAATCTAAGGGAAATGGATCGGTAATTGGGGGGGGGGGGGTTAGAAAGGTCTCCGCATTTGGGAATGGGAAAATTCACGATGTGTTTTCACGTGGTTGAAAAAGGAGAAAGGTCAAGGGAAAGACTGAAAAGACGACGTAATATCGGAACCAATTGTGGGGTACACATCTTGAGGATGATGAGAGGAATACCATCCAAAAGGAGTAGTTTGTTTGCGTTTAGAGGGCCCAATGTTTGGCGGATTTTCTCATTGTTAATGAGGTGGAAAAGGGTTGCCAGTGAAATAGAACGAAGCTGAAGGAGTAGGGTAATTACGTAAGGCGGAGTTGGAAGCCAACCGGGAAGCAAAAGCCCATGCAATGAGCTACTTGACTCCTGAACTTCTACTCGGTTACAAAGGTGGTATATGGCCCACATTTGGACAATGCAGTCATGTTTGGGTGGTGCATTATCTCCTTCATTGACCATGTTTGAATCTATCCAAATTTAGACCATCTATTTATTCGGTGCTCCCGCATTGAGCATCGAGCATACATTCGCTGTTCGATTAGGGTGGGGGGCCCTCTGTGCTTTACTCTGGCTGTTAACGTTACTATCATGTCAGTTTTTTGCATGCACTCGCGTCAAAGTTGCACACAGATAGCAACTTCTCCTCACCAGACAATTGCCCCTACAATCATCGTATTTACTAATGCTGAGTGTACCATCTGGCACGGTTTGTCTTTGGACACAATGGGATGTGCGAAAAAGAGAAGTAATTTATCCTTGTATCGGAGCAGTACCAGGATGTCTGAAACTTTCAAGTTACATCCGGATTGCCGCATCACAGTGTCAAAGAATGTGTTTAGAGCAGGACGGGACCTGTAATACACAGATTGTTCTGGTAAATTATATGATTGCGGTCCGAAATGTTGAAAAAGAAGACTAAAAGTAATGAAAATAAAGCCTTGATAAAAGTCCATTAAAAAAACGCTTCTGGACTGCTCACTTTCTTATCGGGTCGGATCATGGCCTTGTTTGTGAGGACCTATATTTCAGTGTGATTTTACATTTCTCATCCCTTCTAGCGTTACTGCAAACCGTACATGGCCTTGGCTACAGCCTTTCAGTCGAATGACCCAGAGGAATTAACCGCAACTGTCGAACGCCATCGCGATGTATTTGTTGCCGTGAGTTCATGAATTTATTGGCAGGTATTTTTTTCTCCCCCNGTTTGTACATCATTCGTGACTGGAGCCTGTGTAATTAATTGTAAAAGAAATACGACAGCTAGTTTTCGTTCATTGATGACCTCTCTTTGACCTTCAAGCCTATTCATGCCTTTGTCGATTATGCCACTCCACACTTATTATTTACCTTACTTTTCTTCTGACCCCACCAAGTCGAGCGTTAGTAATGACCGCTCTTCCCTCAGTAGCTCTCTAAATTGTGATCTTGGTAACGTTTCTGTATGGGGCTTTCACAGTCGTGGGTGGTGGTGTGGTGGTGGTTTAGTCTCTGTCACTATCGTGCTTTGGACCCAGTGGTCCAAGGTTCGAACCCCGCCACCGCCCCCAACTTTGGTGGTAGACAGCTTTGCTGTCGCCCGCTTCTGTACCACGTCTGACCTATTGGGGTCTTATGCGGTTCGCCACTCTTAGTCTCGGGGATCAGGCTACCGGTTACCATGACTGAGCAGCAGGTCTTCATGAATATGGATTCGTCCCATCTGCTGTTTATCACACACTGATCTTTGTGCGCGCACATTTATTCAACATCAGCTTAGGCCACTGAATTATCTGCCGGATAATCAAATTATATTTGCAAATGTCCAATGCATATTATTTGGCAGACTGAATTCTTTTGCATTGTGAAAAGTGCAGTGACCTTTTTGGGATTCCAACCGACGCATGGCTTTTTGGTCTCCACCAGGTGCTCGGCTCTCACCCGTGGTTCTAAGAAGCTCTCTGGGTGCCCAACGGCCACACCCCGGTAAACCGACAAGCAGGCCAAACCACGTCGAGAGTAATCGGGAGCTCAACTCCCGGCAATTGGAGGTCTAAACGTACGAATACGGTACTAACGCGCTAGGCGGATGAGTCGCTGACACGGCTCAACGGTCCAGTGAATGACTTCCCATTCACCAGGGATGCATAGATCCCTACCACCTAGAAACTGTCAATGATAAACTAGTCCCTGGAGGACCACTGGCAACCATGCGCTACCTTTCTGATGCCTCACAGTTAGCACTTGGATGTGCAAAGGTTAGAGCTGCTATCTTGACCTAAAGCCGGGTGACACTGGGGACGTTTCCTGTAACTAACTCCTTAGAA